TCAATTTTTTTTATTGAAGTTAAAATTAACGTAGATATATGACCGAACCTAACCAACCCTACCTAACCTAACCTAACCTATCTCTATCGGTTAGGTTAGGATAGGTAGCAGAAAAAGTTAGGTTAGGTTAGGTTAGGTAGGTTAGGTAGTCGAAAAAACATTAATTCATGAAAACTTGGCTTATTAGGCAAATTGGGCCATGCATAGTTGGCTGAGAAGTGCGTTCTGGCTATTAGGTACGACATATATATATATATATATATATATATATATATATATATATATATATATATATATATATATATATATATATATATATATATATATATATATATATATATATATATATATATATATATATATATATATATATATATATATATATATATATATATATATATATATATATATGTCGTACCTAGTAGCCAGAACGCACTTCTCAGCCTACTATGCAAGGCCCAATTTGCCTAATAAGCCAATTTTTCATGAATTAATTGTTTTTCGACTACCTAACCTAACCTAACCTATCTTTTTCGGCTACCTAACCTAACCTAACCTATAAAGATAGGTTAGGTTAGGTTAGGTAGGGTTGGTTAGGTTCGGTCATATATCAAAGTTAATTTTAACTCCAATAAAAAAAAATTGACCTCATACATAATGAAATGGGTAGCTTTATCATTTCATAAGAAAAAAATTAGAAAACCACTTGACCATCCACTTGATGGTCAAGTGGATTAAGGCGCCCTCTAGTTACCAGCTGCGTTGCTCCTGGGAGTATGGGTTCGAGTCACTTCTGGGGTGTGAGTTTTCATTCGCATATAGTCCTGGGGACCATTCAGGCTTGTTCGCATTTGTGTTCCTCACGTGTGCCCCAAAGAATGAGGTGATGTGGTGAAATGCTATGCCCAAGATTACCATCCGAGTTGCCGTCGGGGAAGTGGCTCAAATAGCCTCGGCTATCACTTCCTTTTGACGGCCGGGATGGTCAAGTGGATTAAGGCGCCCTCTAGTTACCAGTTGCGTTGCTCCTGGGAGTATGGGTTCGAGTCACTTCTGGGGTGTGAGTTTTCATTCGCATATAGTCCTGGGGACCATTCAGGCTTGTTCGCATTTGTGTTCCTCACGTGTGCCCCAAAGAATGAGGTGATTTGGTGAAATGCTATGCCCAAGATTACCATCCGAGTTGCCGTCGGGGAAGTGGCTCAAATAGCCTCGGCTATCACTTCCTTTTGACGGCCGTGATGGTCAAGTGGATTAAGGCGCCCTCTAGTTACCAGTTGCGTTGCTCCTGGGAGTATGGGTTCGAGTCACTTCTGGGGTGTGAGTTTTCATTCGCATATAGTCCTGGGGACCATTCAGGCTTGTTCGCATTTGTGTTCCTCACGTGTGCCCCAAAGAATGAGGTGATTTGGTGAAATGCTATGCCCAAGATTACCATCCGAGTTGCCGTCGGGGAAGTGGCTCAAATAGCCTCGGCTATCACTTCCTTTTGACGGCCGTGATGGTCAAGTGGATTAAGGCGCCCTCTAGTTACCAGTTGCGTTGCTCCTGGGAGTATGGGTTCGAGTCACTTCTGGGGTGTGAGTTTTCATTCGCATATAGTCCTGGGGACCATTCAGGCTTGTTCGCATTTGTGTTCCTCACGTGTGCCCCAAAGAATGAGGTGATTTGGTGAAATGCTATGCCCAAGATTACCATCCGAGTTGCCGTCGGGGAAGTGGCTCAAATAGCCTCGGCTATCACTTCCTTTTGACGGCCGTGATGGTCAAGTGGATTAAGGCGCCCTCTAGTTACCAGTTGCGTTGCTCCTGGGAGTATGGGTTCGAGTCACTTCTGGGGTGTGAGTTTTCATTCGCATATAGTCCTGGGGACCATTCAGGCTTGTTCGCATTTGTGTTCCTCACGTGTGCCCCAAAGAATGAGGTGATTTGGTGAAATGCTATGCCCAAGATTACCATCCGAGTTGCCGTCGGGGAAGTGGCTCAAATAGCCTCGGCTATCACTTCCTTTTGACGGCCGTGATGGTCAAGTGGATTAAGGCGCCCTCTAGTTACCAGTTGCGTTGCTCCTGGGAGTATGGGTTCGAGTCACTTCTGGGGTGTGAGTTTTCATTCGCATATAGTCCTGGGGACCATTCAGGCTTGTTCGCATTTGTGTTCCTCACGTGTGCCCCAAAGAATGAGGTGATTTGGTGAAATGCTATGCCCAAGATTACCATCCGAGTTGCCGTCGGGGAAGTGGCTCAAATAGCCTCGGCTATCACTTCCTTTTGACGGCCGTGATGGTCAAGTGGATTAAGGCGCCCTCTAGTTACCAGTTGCGTTGCTCCTGGGAGTATGGGTTCGAGTCACTTCTGGGGTGTGAGTTTTCATTCGCATATAGTCCTGGGGACCATTCAGGCTTGTTCGCATTTGTGTTCCTCACGTGTGCCCCAAAGAATGAGGTGATTTGGTGAAATGCTATGCCCAAGATTACCATCCGAGTTGCCGTCGGGGAAGTGGCTCAAATAGCCTCGGCTATCACTTCCTTTTGACGGCCATGATGGTCAAGTGGATTAAGGCGCCCTCTAGTTACCAGTTGCGTTGCTCCTGGGAGTATGGGTTCGAGTCACTTCTGGGGTGTGAGTTTTCATTCGCATATAGTCCTGGGGACCATTCAGGCTTGTTCGCATTTGTGTTCCTCACGTGTGCCCCAAAGAATGAGGTGATTTGGTGAAATGCTATGCCCAAGATTACCATCTGAGTTGCCGTCGGGGAAGTGGCTCAAATAGCCTCGGCTATCACTTCCTTTTGACGGCCGTGATGGTCAAGTGGATTAAGGCGCCCTCTAGTTACCAGTTGCGTTGCTCCTGGGAGTATGGGTTCGAGTCACTTCTGGGGTGTGAGTTTTCATTCGCATATAGTCCTGGGGACCATTCAGGCTTGTTTGCATTTGTGTTCCTCACGTGTGCCCCAAAGAATGAGGTGATTTGGTGAAATGCTATGCCCAAGATTACCATCCGAGTTGCCGTCGGGGAAGTGGCTCAAATAGCCTCGGCTATCACTTCCTTTTGACGGCCGTGATGGTCAAGTGGATTAAGGCGCCCTCTAGTTACCAGTTGCGTTGCTCCTGGGAGTATGGGTTCGAGTCACTTCTGGGGTGTGAGTTTTCATTCATATATATATATATATATATATATATATATATATATATATATATATATATATACATGCGGAAAATCCACAGAGAAATATGAAATGAGGTGAACGTTTCGGCTTAAATAAATATATATATCTATATATATATATATATGTCGTACCTAGTAGCCAGAACTCACTTCTCAGCCTACTATTCAAGGCCCGATTTGCCTAATAAGCCAAGTTTTCCTGAATTAATATATTTACTATAATTTTTTTCTTATGAAATGATAAAGCAACCCTTTTCTCTATGTATGAGGTAAATTTTTTTTTATTGGAGTTAAAATTAACGTAGATATATGACCGAACCTAACCAACCCTACCTAACCTAACCTAACCTATATTTATAGGTAAGGTTAGGTTAGGTAGCCAAAAAAAGCTAGGTTAGGTTAGGTTAGGTAGGTTAGGTAGACGAAAAAACATTAATTCATGAAAACTTGGCTTATTAGGCAAATCGGGCCTTGAATAGTAGGCTGAGAAGTGCGTTCTGGCTATTAGGTACGACATATATATATATATATATATATATATATATATATATATATATATATATATATATATATATATATATATATATATATATATATATATATATATATATATATATATATATATATATATATATATATATATATATATATATATATATATATATATATATATATATATATATATATATATATATATATCATATATATATCTTAGAGGGCCTAAGATGTTTCGCTGTGGCACTCCTACTGTTAATGGTAGAGTAGGGGAGGTTATGTTATTGATGGCTATATATATATGTCTGTCACTGAGATAAGTTCGAATAGAGTTCATAGACAGGCCTTTGATACCATAATGGTGAAGTTTAAGTAGGAAGTAGTTATGGTTTACAGTATCAAAGGCGTTTCTCAGGCCAATGAAAAGACCAATTGGGAACTCATTTTTGTCAAGGGCTGTGTAGATTAAATTAAGCAGACAAATAATGGTATCACTGGTTCTCTTCTGGGAACGGAAGCCAAACTGGCAGGGACTTAATATGTTGAGTTCACAAAATAGGAATAGAGCTGTTTGTAAATATTTTTTTCAAATATTTGTGAAGTATAGGTAAATTTGATATTGGTCAAATCCGACAGCTTAATCGAATCTTAATCAAATAAATCAGATAGCTTACCTAATATGCACCACCGTATGGGCAACTGATGCAGCGAGAAGGATGTAGGGGTTGAGAGACTAGTGGGTGGCTCACCAAGGTCTGGGAGGTGGTGGTGAAGGATGTAGAGGTTGAGAGACTAGTGGGTGGCTCACCAAGGTCTGGGAGGTGGTGGTGAAGGATGTAGGGGTTGAGAGACTAGTGGGTGGCTCACCAAGGTCTGGGAGGTGGTGGTGAAGGATGTAGGGGTTGAGAGACTAGTGGGTGGCTCACCAAGGTCTGGGAGGTGGTGGTGAAGGATGTAGAGGTTGAGAGACTAGTGGGTGGCTCACCAAGGTCTGGGAGGTGGTGGTGAAGGATGTAGAGGTTGAGAGACTAGTGGGAGGCTCACCAAGGTCTGGGAGGTGGTGGTGAAGGATGTAGGGGTTGAGAGACTAGTGGGTGGCTCACCAAGGTCTGGGAGGTGGTGGTGAAGGATGTAGGGGTTGAGAGACTAGTGGGTGGCTCACCAAGGTCTGGGAGGTGGTGGTGAAGGATGTAGGGGTTGAGAGACTAGTGGGTGGCTCACCAAGGTCTCGAAGGTGGTGGTAAAGGATGTAGGGGTTGAGAGACTAGTGGGTGGCTCACCAAGGTCTCGAAGGTGGTGGTAAAGGATGTAGGGGTTGAGAGACTAGTGGGTGGCTCACCAAGGTCTGGGAGAGCGTTGAGGTGCATGTCGGAGGTGTCGGGTCCTGCCAGCAGGGTGTAGCGGTCGGGGGAGCTCTGCACCACAGTCTCACTGCTGGTCCGCACCTGCTCACACCCGCCACCCCAATGTTTATATATTTAATCTTTTTATTATATATATAAATATAAGGAGCATGACATTGTTATTCACTTACACAAAAGTCATAATAATTACATAACACATAGTCATTGTAATGATGTTTTGTATAATAAAGAAAAAGACATTTATGATGATTTGTAATACATGGAATAAATACTGTTTAGACAACAGTACTTTTTACAGTAACAAAGACATTCATTCATGGACACATTGATAGAGACTGAGGGCAACTGGTAATTTAATGTTACCATTTACTATCAACATTGGATTACGGGTGTCAAGCGCATTCTGCTGCTGGTAATCCAATTTAAATACTTTGAGGTAATAGACCACAACGGTCTCCAGCTAAACTTTACCCACGATTAGATCTTCGGTAGTAACTAGACCGAAGAACAACTGCAGCAACTAAAAGGTTAAGTCAGAAGTCATAAGGTACACTCCTTAATGAATCTAATAGATCTAAAACAGGAAAGTTTACGTCTTTCTGGTACTGGTAGATGACTCAAATTGGTGCAATTTTACTTTTTCTCAAATGCACCAATTTGTGTTGAGAATTTTTACCATGGATTTCAACTGCACCGATCTGAGTCGTGAATTTTTCCTGTGGAAAATAAACGGCTCCCTTAAGTCTCCTACTAGTTTTTCCCAGGGTGATTAAACAGCCCCCTCCCGTCATCCCTAAATTTAGTTACCTCAACGACGCGCGGTTCCAGTCATCTCTAATCGTCAGTGACGTCATCAGCCGGCAAGTCTTCATCTTCCCTCAATAAGCCCGTCTTCCATCATTGGATATTTAATCAAATTTTCAGTGATTGCAAATTTAATCCCATTTTCATATATTCCCATTTATCAAATATTGATTATTTCTAGTCAAAGATTGTATATTAAACAAACGAATGAAATTGGAAAGCCTTTGGGGTGGGGGCATACAGTATCTCCTAATTATCCCCACCCTTAAGCAAATCATTAACTGCCGCAGTGGAATGAAATAAAATTGCAGCAGGCCTATACATAAGAATTAAGGAAAATAGTGCAATGTTCACACACTTGTATTTGCATAATGTTAAATAAATACTCTATTGATAAACCCTTAGATTCTTCCATTTTAAGAATGACACATATATAAAACTGCAAAAGACCCTATTTATACCCCATTTTATACCTGTTCATTGACTCCTCCCCTAACTATATAATAGCTCACTGGTTCAAACTCTTCTACTTGAGACCAAGTGTTAGTGCTCTTATATATTCTCAAATATTCTATAATTTATGAAAGCAATATTCACCACAGATCATAATAGTAAGTAACCAGTCCATAGCTTGCACGGCTTTGTTATTAGCCCCCGGGTGTACGTACCGTCCGTGTGACGTCACAGGCGGCTCCGATCAAGTCTTGGATAAACTTGTATCTTGTTTATTTTTTCCCTTGCTATTATATTAAATTAATAACTCTACCTCACCTAACCTAACCATCCTAACCTAAACTAACATACCGACATATGCACACAAACACACACACACATATGCATTAGGAAGTGATGTGGCGGAGGCTGACTCCATACAAAGTTTCAAGTGTAGATATGATAGAGCCCAATAGTCTCAGGAACCTGTACACCTCGTGTACTCGGGGCCTCGTAGCCTGGTGGATAGCGCACAGGACTCGTAATTCTGTGGCGCGGGTTCGATTCCCGCACGAGGCAGAAACAAATGAGAAAAAGTTTCTTTCACCCAGAATGCCCCCTTTTACCTAGCAGTATATAGGTACCTGGGAGTTAGTCAGCTGTCATGGGCTGCTTAATGGGGTGTGTGTGTGTGTGTGTGTGGTGTGGAAAAAAAGTAGTTAGTAAATAGTCGATTGACAGTTGAAAGGCGGGCCGAAAGAGCAAAGCTCAACTTCCGCAAACACAACTAGGTGAATACTAGGTGAATACCTGTTGTTTGACGGTTGAGAGGCAGGACCAAAGAGCCAGAGCTCAGCCCCCGCAAGCACAATTAGGTGAGTACTCACACACATACATACACACTGTGACGATAATCTCTTTCAAGAGAGATTGAGCCTGCTCTTCCCTACATCATTACGTCGTACACATACAAGATACTATATAGAAGATACGTCCACCAGTTTCGCCAAACGTTTTGCCCAGGAAGCAAATCGTACCATGCACACCCCGACACCTGGCTACAGCTCGCCGTAACCAGCAAACTGCTCATCCTCTGCCTGCCTGTTGCTGATTGGCTGGTGTCTCGTCACACTTGCACTCCGCCACCACCATGAGTCGACGTCTGGGCAGCAGCACGCCAGACTCATCAGAATATCTTTGTGCTCCTTGGAGTTGACATCTCTCGCTACTAGACTAAGCCCTGGCTTTCGTGTACTAAGGGAGGTGGCAGCTTGAAGCCAGTATTTTTCTAGAGTAATTAAAAATTCATTGTTTATATACTTGTGTTTTGTGTATCTTCCCATTACCTTACCACAGACGAAAGGACAAACTTTTCTCTTTTTTTTGTGATGTGATGAGGCCCTGCCCCCAGCTTTTGAAACAGCCGAACACCAAACGCTTTACCGTCACATTACGTGGGGGCCTGTCCGGGAGCTTCACTCAGGTACTGGTGCCAAGTTGTAAATTTGTGGTAAGCGTATTTGGCTTTGGTAATGTAGCTTTTCACTATTTTCAATATTCCATTTTATTTTCATATGGTGCTGTGTGTATTGTGCATTCCGAGAGTAGCATATGGTGAAGGTGAGACAACTTTGGATTACGTGGTGACTGTAGGCCTCAGTTATTCTCTTAATTGGTCATCTCTCCCTCCGTGTTATTACTCGTGTTTACCATCTTTTGTCCCTAGGATATTTCTCATATTTTCGGCAGATCATCATATTGGTACCCTGGTACTGTGGTCTGTCCCCGGGTCAAGAGCACCTAATCTTCTGCAATCTGACAGTAGGAGGATAAAGAGGGCCATAGTTCCTCGCACCCCTACATGTCGGTCAGAGATGATGATATTTGCATTGGTAGGGAATTAGCCTTCTTTTTCAGAGCACAAAAGTTCGCTAATTCTGTAAGTATCAAAATAATTTCAGTGGAAAAACTTGCTTATGTCCTATAGAGACTCGACAAGGTATGCCTACATTCTTGGACTACCTATTTACTTTTGAGGCAATTAACTGTTTCATTTGTTTTAGAAACTCAGTTTCGCTTATTTAGTAGGATTTTCTTGCCCTTATCCTCTTACATGAGTACCGGGTAAAAGATTTCCTGCAACCTTGATTTATTAATCATTTATCATCTTGAAATTCACATTAATTGTTAAGGATTCCACAGGATAGGTACCAGTTGCCACGTTGTCCTGTTTCTGACATTCACCATATCACAACAATATATTCGTTGTGCATTTATTTGCTAATTTCACCATGTTTCGTCTCCAAGCTTTCCGTGCAGATCCAGCAGGTGAAATAGGGACTTTAAGTAGTGCCAAGAGGACTGAATTACAAACTCTTGCACAGGAGTATCAACTAGAAGTTCCCTACCAAACCAACAAAAATGAAATACATAACCTATTACTGGATCATCTCTTAGAAAAAGGTAAGATAGACTCTGAAACTCACGAAACTTACTTTATTGCAGATAAAACTGATTTGGCAACGATGAAACTCAAAATAGAGCTGGCCAAGATCGAACACGAACAACAAAGAGAAGCCCTCGAGCAACAAAGGGAAGCAGCTGCCATAAGAAAGGAAGAAAAGGAACGAGAAGCTGCCTTGAGGAAGGAAGAACAAGAACGTGAAATCGCCCTCAAGGAACGTGAGATTGCAATACTCCGTGAGCAGGAACGTATACAGCTTGAAACAAAACAACGCCAATTGGAGATGCAACACGAACATGACAAACAACAAGCAACTCTGGCTATGGAATATCGTCAACGAGAATTCGCGTTGGAAACTTCACACCTCGCTCAACGCCAGCAAGCTACCGCCAACCTTCCTGTCAGTTTCAATATATCACATGCAAGTAAGTTAATGCCACCATTCGTAGAAACAGAAGTTGATGTGTTTTTTACCACCTTTGAAACCCTTGCTAATCAACTTAGTTGGCCTGCCGACCAATGGGCAACCCTTCTCAGAGTACATCTTACAGGTAGAGCTGCAGTTACCCTCAGTACTTTGGCGTCTGAGAATGACTACCAGACTCTGAAACAAGCAGTGTTGCACGCCTACCTTCTCTCCACCAAAAGTTATCGAAGGAAATTCCGTGACCACCTGAAGGCAAGTACCACTACCTTTCTCGAATTTGCTAATACCAAAAGGAGATATTTTATGAAATGGCTGGAAGCAGCACATGTCTCTACCTTTGCAGAACTCGTCAACCTCATGCTAGTTGAAGAATTCTTGAGGCGTGTGCCGCCTCCTGTCCGTCTATATTTAGCAGATAAAGAAGAAACCGACTACCTAAAGTGTGCTAAGTCGGCTGACAATTACAGCCTCATCCACCGGCTGACACCAGAACCATCTTCCAGTAAGAAGTCTTGGTACAGTTACGAGAAAGTGAGTACCGATCAAGCTGGCTCGCAATTGTACTGTAAGTATTGTAGACTCTATGGACATACCATAGATAAATGTGGTAAGTCTCAATACAAAGGAAACACCGAATCACCTAAACCCAAACAGACTCCTCCTAAGTCCGGTAAGCCTGTGATGAATGTTGGTGTTCATGGTAATGATCTTTCTCTTTTCAGTAAACACCTGTATACTGGAACTGTCTCTACCAACGGTTCAAATCCGGAGGGACGTTTCAAACCGAAGATCTTGAGGGACACAGCGGCTCTACAATCGATTATTTTGAAGTCGGCTGTGCCCAACATCGCCTACAACGGAGAAACTGTCTTCATCACTGACCTTACTGCTACCACTCCTTATCCTCTCGCCAGAGTCCACCTGGATTGTCCCTTCGTGACCGGAGAAGTCCAA